ACGTTCTTTAATGAAGCTAATCGATCGCAACTTTTGCATATAGCAGTCAGTAATATTATTACTTCTCTTAAAGATAAAAAATAAGAAACAAATTTAAAATAGATACATGAGGCATTTCATGAGGCAATAATGTAAAACATATATTAAAGCTGACATGAACTCTTAAAAAGGCATTAGTTTTCATCTTTGTACGACTTACTACATTCCTGTACGCCCTTGTCCGCCATATTTCTTCGATTCCGCCATATTTTATCGAAGATTTTTGGTCACCCGTACCTGCTATATATAGCCTTGTAGAATTGTTTCACTTGAGTGATTTTCTAACCTGGCTGTCGACATGTACACATCTCCGATAGCATAGAAGTCCATAAACTGAATAAACTGACCAAATACATGTTTGAAAAGTAAGAATTCAACAAAAAATAGAACTAAACAGAGAATTAAAATAATTTTTGAATGCATTTGCTGCAATATAGAAAATACACTTACACGGAATACATTCATGAACAGCAAAAATCCATGCAGGTCGAGAAAACGCGTCAAACGCAGTGATAAAACATTTACCTGAATATACTGCTATCGTTACAGGGATGTGCACATGTCGAAAGAATTATCCTATTTTACTTTTATTGAAAAATGCATCTCAGAAGTCATGTAATCCATTGCTAACTCAGCAGTAAAAGATGCTTGGACACACGTGGCCCATGCCGATCATTTTATTTGGTCAGGGAAAATATCAAAGGTTCAAAGCTGAGGGGGTTGATTGAAAAAAAATGCAAGTAATTTTTCAAAACTAAACATTACTCTTGTCTGTAAATGTTGCAAATAGAATTCATGATTACATGGTTTAACTTCATTAAATTTATAATAAAGCATGCATTATTACGAATCATTCACCTTTTGAAGATATTTTCCTGTGATAGGAAGGGGGGGGGGTGTAATAAAACATGCATATTAACACTCTCATAATTTAAGAAAAACGTCTGAAACAGATTGATTTCTTTATGATTAATTATTATCAAATAAATACTGTGTATTGGCTTTATTAGACCTAATATAATTTGATTTAAAGTTATTTATAATTGTATGCACAATGAATGAAAACATACCCCCATGTTTCCCCAAAAGTCGAAGTGCTGAAATTCCCAGAAAAAAATATAGGAATCGTAATTTCCTTGTTATATGCACATCTATGCACATTGTGTCCTAAATATCTGCAAAGTTTGACGAAATTGTGTGCAGCGGTTTATGAGGAATTGTGCTGACAAACTGCTCATCTTTATATTCAAGACATGACCAAAATCTAAATGTAAATGTGCGGAAATTCCCGAAAAAATAAAGAATTCGGAATTTCCTGGTGATGTGCAAATCTAGACACACATTGACTCGTATAAATATCTCGAAAGTTCGACAAAACTCTGTGCAGCGGTTTATAAGAAGTTGCGCTGACAAAAAAAAAAGCACTGACTGATGGGTCCAAAACATTATACCTCACGCAACTTGTTGCGAGGGGTATAATAAACGAGTTTGATTCTGTGGTACAATGATAATGAAAATAGAATTTAATGTGAATTAAATTTCTAGACATAAATAATTAATGATTACTAGAAAAAGCAGATAGAAAGAGAGAGCAAACCCCCCGTGGGAATTTCACATTTTACCTACAATTAGCTTTTTAAAAATTCTCTTGTCTGTTGTCCACGTCCAGGTTCGACTCGTACGTTTGAGCATAGATGTGCCAGAACCGGGGGGAGGGGGGGGGGGGGGTTTTTTACAAATATATACTTGGAATATACATTGAACATTGCTGCGTAGGTTTAGCCTCCCCCCCCCCCCCCCACTTTCCACAGACAAGTCGCAGTATAGATTAAAAAAGAGGAAAGTGTTGGTGTTTTGAGAAAAATTTTGTTACTGAAGTTCGAACCTACCTTCCCCCCCCCCCCTTTTCCCCACACGAAGTAGGATATTCGTGTTTTGGAAAAGGACATTTCCCCCTTTTTTTAAGCTTGTCAGATTTTTTGAATGTATGAAAAAAATTTCTTTGCACTTAGCCCCCCCCCCTTTCAATTTGCTTCCGAGGCCAATGCGTTTGAGAAGGTATTTGAGAAAGTTCCCAATGTATATATACCTATTCCTGTGATGTATATTTAAAGTTTTTATATCCCCCTCTTGAAAAGTGGGAGGGTATGTATATATAGTAATAGTTATGTCCGTCCGTCGGTCTGTTACGCTTTGGGGTACCCATCTCTTATCCGCGAATCCTCTTATACCACCAAGTGAAATTTAATAAAACTTTCACAGAATCTTAGGTTTATTACATATTACCATTGTGCACCTCCTATTTCACTTTTTGATCCGACACGTATTTTGGGTTTAGCGACAACAGCAAAATATGGACTTTGCCATTATAACCATATGGGAGGCGGGGGTATCATTTAGTGAGCTCATTGCTCACAATACCTCTAGTTTCTCTTTCAATTTGGCCGTTTTAACTTCTTGTCCAAATTAAAATTATTATTCAATTTATGAAGTTTCGACATACTGCCTGAAAAAAAAATCCTTGATCTGTCCTAAGGCTTATTAATGGTACAGCACAAAGTGCGTAGGATCTTATACCTATTATTGCCCTAAGGGATGGTTACAGAGAGAGAGAGAGAGAGAGTTCAGTATACAAAAGAGTAAATAAAAATTATCCGTATTCAACCAGTGTCAAGAATCCCTATCCTAGCTTTTAAAATTATCTCCCAAATACTCCTACAGAAATTATTTATAATATAAACAGAAAATAGCTGGACTATCGGGCAGAGACACTGAAATCTCGAAAGACTCTTTATAACAACATAATTATAAAACATTTATACATTCCTCAAAATGCACATACTTTGTGGTCGGAGTGACACATTTAAAAAAAAATTTCAAAACTGAATTCGGCAGAGATGTCTGTCTTCCAAGAATATTTAGATAACGGTCATGTCAATTATTTTTGCACGCTACCCCCCCCCCCCTCCCCGCCTAAAAAATCAAATGCCTAAATGTCAATCTGAACAGGGGATGGCATTTCTTCGTGTGTTTGTGTGTTAAAGAACATATAGATTTATGTACGCATAAAAAATTGTATTCTGGTTAATTGCTTTTAAGATTTGAAGTAAATAATTACCGTACATTAAATTACTTGGTTTAGATTTGAGATTAGTACTAAAATAATCAGTTTTAATTGACAAATGAATTTTGCGACGCATACCAACTGCAGACTATATGCAAGACTTTGTATAGAATGTATATTAGAACTACATGTAGATAGACAATTCACAATTATAGCACAATTATACCCCCCCTTTCAGCCGCGCAAATACCAAATAAATTCTCTTTCCACTTGTGATATTTTCCCTGACCAAAATCTGATCAGCACGGACTAAGTGTATCGACGTGCTAGTCTGTACGGAGAAATGACAGTGTGTTTACTATTGAGCTTTTGTGGAGTTTATTTCTTTTTTGTGATGCATATTTCAATAAATGGAATTCAGGGTGTATATCACTTGACTTGTGCACATCTTCGAACCGATGCAGTAACCTTATTACCAGGTATGGGTACGTTTACAGCGTTCGAGGCGTTTTCTTGATATGCACCAATTGCATAGGGGCTGCAAATCAAAGACGTTGGTTGTTTTGTTCCATTCAAATGATATAATTTCAAAATGTGTTTGCAGATTTTACTGCTTTTTATTTCAAGTTTATTCTGCATAAATTGGCGCACTGTAAAAATACGTACTCGTGCATCTAAATTTCTCACCAAACTTGCATTTTTTTCTTTTGATTCAAATCAATAATTATTCAGAAATATGATTATTGTGTTATTTATTGTGGTTTTGAAATGTCTTGATCTCCTCATGTGTTCTCATATGCTTTACCATTGGAGATGTGCACAAGTCGATACCCAAGTCAAAAAATCATTCAAGTGTAACGACCGCATTGGGGTATATATCGTTACAATGAGACAATGTATCTGAAAGAAATATGGCGGAATACGGCTATAGGTGATATGAAACAAGTCGTACATAGATGAAAATGTTGCGTTTTTAAGAATTCATGTCAGCTTTAAGGAGAAAATTTCATTATAATTATTGTCCATAGTCGTCATATAGGTAACATTCTCAATATGACCCTCCTTGATTTCTATAATTGAAACGACCTCTTGTATAATACTTTATGGTACATATGTGTTCGTTTTTCAAAGTCTATTTTGTCCTTTTTTTGCATAATAAGGATGCTTAAAGTTCCATAATACTTGCTACTTACATGTATAAGATACTTTAGAGTTCTGAATATCATGGAAACTATTTAACATCAGAGGTACAATAGAGAAAATGTCTGAATAAAGATACCCAGAAATTTTTTTTTTTTAATTGTTATATTTAACATCATTTAACATTACATCTATTGAAAAGCATTCTTCCAAAGATATTCTTTTATTTGGTGTGAATTTAAATCAATATTAGTTTTGCTAAAACCTATGACATCATAAGAGGATGGAAAGACCTTAATACTGTAGTTATTTTAAAAAAATATATAACGATATAATTATTTAGTTTTTTTTCCTGACAAAAAGTAAATTCATTTTTTATCTGGTATTTTTATTTTTGCAATTTACAGATAAACCAAGGAAATTGTCAACCGTATTCAGAAGTTCTATTATTTTTACATCATGTCGAAAACAAATCAAACTGATCACCTTGTTCCTAAACAAATTGCTTAAAGAGTTCCTGTCCAGCTAGATGGCCCTGAAGATTCATGCATAGTTTATATATATTGTGGGTGTTAAAGGTGCAGGTTTCTGTAATACAATATTGAATTGGATATCTGACGGATTTCTTAAAGCTACATTCTCTGAAGGTTAATTTACTATTCTAATCGAGTTTGCAAAAAGTTACCCCCCAATCTTCTACGCATCAGGAAAAAGACAGGAATGCGTCCTCAATGCAGCATCCAATATGGAACTTAATGCTGCATCCAATAAGGGACTTAATGCTGCATCCAATAAGGGACTTAATGCTGCATCCAATATGGCACTGTATGACGATCCTGTCTACGCCTTTTATGATCATGATACCTCCAACTTTCAAAATGGCTACCACTACGTAAACCATTACAAGTCTTCAATGCAGGTTTCCGCTTTCCAAGATTAAATTTTGTGCTCTCTTTCTCCATGTTACCAGCAATGACTTGCTGCAAAATTAATTTGTCATCCGAAGTAAGTATGTTGCGTCTGCAAACGTTTTTAACAAACATATCTAGATCCATGAACTGAAAACGGACTCGATACACTGCGTCTCCTATCTGATTCCTGATATTTTCATCCGACTTCTCATAACCTTTGACCTCACACTGACCTTCACCCCAACTTATCAGAAAATGATAAACTCTTAACTCCTCAATATCTAGGTTTTCTGAGGATAAAATTTCCTTTAAGGTGTCCTTACTTATCTGTAGGGCAAATTGTGATTGAAACACGTATGCGCCTTTCTCATTGATAAATTCTATGCATTTTTTAGACAAAGCTTCTAAGCCAAATAACTTTGCATTTGCAAAAACTGAGAAAACAGTTTCATTTGTAATGTTCTTGTCTAAGTATGATTCCGTAGCTTCTTTTAACGCCCCAACGTCGTATTTTTCAGCAGCGTATAAGGCTCCGATGACAGTATCGTTATGCACCTCAACATCTCCACAATACAAAAATCTGCAATTTAATGGAAAAACGATTGCATTCCACCTATTAACAAAACAATACAAAGTGGTTTAATTTTTTTTGTATTTTTTCTTCATATATTTTGTTTTATCGTATTTTGGTAATAAAGTGATCTTTTACTTAAAGTCAACTATAAAAAGATAAAGGAAATAATTGACACAAAAACGAACCTTTGTAGTAGAAAGGGTTATTCGTTTCAATTATAAACTAAAAAAATTCAATAGGTCCATTCAAGTTAAGGACAGATGATACAAACAAATTTTTTCTTTGAAGAAGATTTAATATCATGTCACATGTTTAGAGAAGTGGATGGTTCTTAGATTTTATTCTCCTAAGAACTGGAATATGAAAAATACTTGGAAAATATTAGTAATATTTCAATGAAAAATCAAATATATACAAATCAAAACCAGTAAAGGTTTACAGGTGAAAACAAATTTTAGAATATGTTACCTTGGTGCTAAGAGTGCATTATAAACTTAAGAAAAATATACCAAGCCAGGTGAATTTTATTAGGAAAAGAATTATCCACTTTTCTAAACTTAAGCTTGTGACATGATATTAAATCTTTTTCAAAGAAAAAAAATGTTTGTATCATCTGTCCTTAAACCATGTAAAAGGTATAAATAACGAACAAGGAAAGATCAAGAAAAAATAAAAACTATATCAATCTGTAAATAAGATATAAAGCACGGATCCTGTATTTCCACGTGGTAAGATCACGTGCGAAATAAGAATAAGCATTATGCATCCATCCGCCCTAATCACTTTGTATAGATAACGGTAAACGGAACATTCCTTTTATATCCAGTATAAATCAAAGAGTAAACAATTGTTATGAAGCCATTCAGACAAATCAGACCCACTGACAAGTTCAAATTGCATACAAGGTCACTATACCCTTGCATTTCGAAAGTTAAATAATATTGAAATCCCTGTAACATAAACTTTTTTGACAGTAGCCAGTTACGATAAAGAACTGATCGCATTCGAAGCATGCATTTGAATATCGATTCGAATAAGCTGATAAGCTAATACCATATAAGAATTCAACTCCATATAAAGATGATAGCAGGGTATTATTTAAAAAGAAAACAGTTGACGATAAAAAGCTACACATCCTGTTTGTCATACAATTATGTAATCTGTCATTCAAAATTCATTTGACAATTTTAATGCGTTTATGTAGTTCAATGTTTGCTTAAGAGTGGTCTGGCAGAATAGGGGAAAGCTTAAGATTATAATATCATCAGGAATCATCGGAAAGAGCCTTAAAAAAGGGGGAAAAAGCATCTTTTTCTACCTGAGAAGAACATCAAATGAAGGTGGTTCAATGTCAGGGATTGTAATTTCCTTAGCTTCCGGCAGGTCACCATAAAACATGGCGTCAAACACGGGGCTTCTGCTCGCTAGCACATACTTATGAGCGCGAACAAGCTTCTCTTCTTCCCCGACTCTAAATGAGATATCGCAATACACCTCGTTTTTCAGCATATATCTGTTACATTCAGCATATATCTGTTACATTCAGCAACAGTAAGACCGGAACGCCAGTTTTTAGAAGTCATGACTTCTGTCATCTGCAAATAAAACAAAGTTATAATCAAGCACAGATCCAGGATTTTTTTTCGGGGAGCCCTCCCCAGTCCAAAAAAATATAACTTAGAAATTTCCTGAAAAGCAACATTTAAAGTAAAACCGTAAACTCCTTTCCCAAACTTGAAAAACCTATTTGTTAGGGGGTGGGGTGGGGGTGGTATTGATTTTTTAATGCTTCATAGTTAGAAACCTAGTACGTTTCAGGAATCAGCATTTTCTAGGCGGGAAGGGGGTCCAGGGTAACTTTTACTTTATTATTTATAAAGCAAACTAATTGGGGTACGGACTTCCTTCCCCTTTCTAGATCCGCGCATGATAACATTTTTAATATTATGTTGTCAGTAAGGGCTTTTAAATACCTTATTCTTGGCTTTAAAAATTTACTGATTTGTTTCGTGATATAATACTTGCCTAAACCCAATCTAAAGTATGAATTCACAAATGAGTCCTTGAATTTGAATAAATTTTTAAATATGTACATTTATGTCAAATTATTTGATTATTGTTCTTTATAAACAAAACTGTTATTTTGCTTAAAAATTCACGCTTTCCAGAAGATTAAGGTAAATTTAGCAAGTTGTATTATATAGTTACAATGAATTTCTCCAATCTAATTTGATTCGAAAATATTCGTTCTAAGAGGTTTAATTCTAATAACTCAGTCATATCACTTTCAAATACGTAGATGTCACTGGTCTTTCAGCAATATCCTTTATTGTCAGTATTTTTTGCTAATTCATTTTCGTTTTAATGACCATGTTTGTAAATACTACATGTACTCTATGTTTGCTCATGATTTGACTGATATCTTTCATTTGAATTCATTACATGAATTTTTTTTCTGTTAATTTTAACGACATGTTCAATACAGAGGACTCGCGGCTGATGTGACCTTTTCGACAGGGGGAAACTTACTTCACCAAGCAACCTGATCACCCCTCTGTTTTTCCAAGGTCTGCGATTTTCTCAGATCAGCCTCATTTTATACTTAACAGCAATTTTTATCGTTTTCAAAAATATGAAGAAAAAATTTCCACGAACGACCTCTTATGATAATTGGATTATTTATCAAATCCGATACATAACAGTCAAGCAGAAGCACAACGTGCTTAGCAAAAATCAACGATTTTTGAAGGCAAATTACCGCAAGATTCATCCCATTTATAGGTTAACTAAAATTAAAAAAATTGAACAGATATTTATCTAATTTCTTAATTAATTCGTAATGAATTAATAGACTTTTTTTACGAAGTATTTTCAAGTTTTCAATCTGCATGGAACTTTTATATGACTTTTCAGATAAGAAAAGACACTTAAAAATCTTTTTTATGGGTTTCCGTAATTGATACAGCGAAATAAAAATGAAAGTGAATATGTAACAATAAACAAAATTAAAAAGAAAGACTTATACATACTAATCTGATAGTTGAAATAAGTTTTCCAAATCAAACTTTAAAAATTCTTAAAATACCACATTTGTCGAATTACAAGTGGAGAAAAGTCCATTCATAAATATTTAATTTTAATGTTGTACATTTTTTCATTGCCTGGAATCGAAGCATTCAATATTTTTTTTATAATAACATGTTTACTATTGAACAACTGTTAATTACTTTAAATCACTATATTACACAACTCCCCTTTTTAAAGGGGTTTATAAACTTTATATATTAAAAAAAATAATCTTTCATAGTTCTTCATTCTCTTCTACTTTTTAAAATAGAATTAATACATGTAGACTTTGAATAATTTTTACTTTTCCTGTAGTTTAAAGTTTGTTCATTCCAGACCATTCTGTGCCTCCATAATAAGAAGTGGTCTTGAAAAAATGCCGGGCTAAAAATACATCCGTGCTGCTGTCCATGAAGTACTTTCATGGTTCTTTACACTCATTTGGAATAACAGTGCCTTGTTCTGAACTCGAAATAACCATTTTACATCGCAAAATTTAGTCATTTTCGCAACAAATGTTTGAAGAGAGAACATTAAATGCACAAAAAATAATGGTTTAAAACGCTTACCTTTACTGGCTTCAGTTATCAAATGTGTTAATCTACGGTGAAACGTTCGGGTACGTTTTCCTCCGAGAGTTGCATGATTCATATGATGCATACAAGTATTCGTAGTTACACAATTTAATTTAATCATGAATACAACCTTTCATATCCAAAATTACAATTTTCGGAATATAGAACATGATTTTTGAAAGTGCGCTGTCCCCACCCCTAAAAACATGAATAGGATTTTCAATTTGAGAAGTAAGATTTTTTCTCAAAGCCCCCACTCCCAAACTCACACAATACTTCTGTTATGGCCAGCAAACAAGCAAAGGGGTTACATAGTATAATAAATAATTGATGTACCGCTGCAAAACATATTAAGGTCAATATCTAGTAAATAACTGTAGACTAATTTTTTGGTGCTAGATCCATTATGACTTCATAATCAATTTCAACTTTCTTTTTCCCGTACTTTACGGCTTTAGCAGAATTATGTAGAAAATACGGTATTTTCATGACATTCAATTTGAAATCATATGAAAAGTAAACCGGATACCTATATTAAATTTGATATTGATTTAAAGAAGAGGCAATCAACATACTAATTACCGTTTTCTGAGAGACTGTAGGCAATCTGGATACATTTCCTTTGTCGGATATGAAAAAAGCTCAAATTTTCATGACTGGTTCTCTTAAAGGAAACGTAGGGTCTAAAAAAACTTTTTGATATCTCATTCATTGAATGGTCAATAATGAATTTTACCTGTTACTGCCATTTGTTTTAACTTAATTATAAAGTAATAACACATCAAAGTTATAAGTAAACTGGCTGCTGGAGGCTGCCATGTTGAGAGATAAAGTTATCGCGCTTGCTAAATATTTCCCACAATCCTCACTTTTATGACGTATTGCAGGCCATTTGGCTCTAAGTGTAAACACTATCATGTTGGAATCAAGTTGTGAAAATGTGCCAATTAAGTGTGTGCAGTTTAATTTTGGATCTGAATATATTATAGTAAATATAATTTCACATTCCTATGCCTTTAGTGTTTCAGAATTCAGGAAAATAAAAGAAGGAATTAATAATAAAAAGCCGTAAAATTTTAAACTTTAATTAAAAACTTTTTGCAAAGGTTGTATTATTTTACATGATTTTAATTAAAACTTTTTCAAGTTCTAATGTGTCAAAAAAGGATGTTAATTTAATTTCTATAAACTAACAATTGCTTAAATTAGCTTATTTATGAAAGAAGGAATTTTATTTTTCTGCAGTCATAAACACATTGACTCTAGCCATCTGGCATTTAATCTGTCTGCACTACGTCAGCTGCGGCCATGATAAGGTTTTCCCCATGCTGCTCCAATTAAGCTATTAAAATCCAATTTAACTGCTGTTATCAGCGGCGCAGTGTTGTTAGATGCAGCTTTTCTTTTTATATGAGAGGTACAGTTTTATATATAAAAATTTAAATTCTGACCAAACGTTCCCTTTAATTTTTCATTGAAAATGACAGTTTAAAATACAGTTTTTCATCTTGTTTACCTACAAAGTATGCCCTGAAACACCTTATTTGACCAAGCTAAAGTTGTAAAGCATCAGAAAGGGAATTTATTTCTCAAGTTTGATAAATCTGTAGGCACCTTTCATTTACTAGATTTTGACCTTAAAAGCATAGCACATAATGTACATAAATTATTACATTTAAGTTGCAATATTTACATTTGCGAGTATCTTTCTCAGATGAACCTATTGGTGAGAAAATATGTTCAATTCTGTGCGAATATAATTTTTGGGTCATGGTGCAAATTGTTTTGGAATATTTCTAAGTTAATAATCTTGAAGAAGATAACATAATAAACTAAATGGATATTCTTCAATCACGACATATAAAAAAAATCTTCTTTCTATGTGAATAAGGTATGGAATACTATGATTAGCTTAAACCCGAAAGTCCTTTGGAGTTATGTAAATTGAAACAGGCGATAACAACGCTTCTGGCTTCAAATATTTAAGAAACCTAAGAAATACTCAGTAGATAGATAGGTTACTCTCAGTATCGACCGTTGTTTTCTTTCACTATATGCAGATATTTCCTGGTCTGGACTGCTAAACATGATTGTAAATATTCAAATCTTGGAAATAGGTGAACTCAAGACCAAACAGCTTCTACGTCATTGTGCGTCACAACATAGCAATATAGCGGCCCGTTCGTGTAATAAAAAGCAGTTTTACACGACCTTTATTCGTCTAAAACGTAAAAATTAGTGATAAAAACAATCTTAAAAAGATGACTGGGAAATGAACTTTTAGTTCGGGCTTCACAGGATTTGATCAAGTGATCAGCTTAAAATTTATTTCCAAGAGAACTTTTTAACATTGTTGTTTATTTCGTAATTGAATTCAACACCTTGGTTAATTAATGGATGCAGGTTTAGATATTAAAATGAATGAATTTATTGATGAATAAAAAAGTATATACAAAATATAAAATTCAAGATAAATACAGAACAAATAAATACTTTGTAAACACAATTTTGATTTAAAAATATTAATTAAACAATTTTTCGCTGAATAATAAATAGATAATTTGCCTACATGGTTGGTGTTATGAAAATATTTGGATTGTAGAAAGTTAAAGAAGAAAGCCTTTAATTGTCAATACTTTGCAATTTTTACTATCGATATAAAAACTTTGTTTTAAAAAAGAAAAAAGTCTATGATTGAATCAAGTAGTAACTGACGTTTAGAAAAAAAAATATAAGGCCTTTAGTTCTAAAACCGAATTTCCAACAACTTTCCAAATTATGTTTAGGGGAAGGGGCTGTCATGGACTGTCTACCAGGTAAGTCTACTTATTACACGTCCTTCCATTTGTGGATGTTCTAAAGGTCCGT